GCCAGCGCCATCCACGACGTGGATCACCCCGGAGTTTCCAATCAGTTTCTCATCAACACCAGTGAGTTTGCTCGTAGCTCTGCAGGGATTATCTGAATGTGTGTGGGTGCTGAGTGTATTTAACTATGTAGCTGACGAGATCGGGATTTATTTTACATTCAGAGTTTTTTATGCCTTTTTGTCTTCAGACTCAGAGCTGGCCCTGATGTACAATGACTTGTCAGTGCTAGAGAATCACCACCTGGCTGTAGGCTTTAAGCTTCTGCAGGAAGACAACTGTGATATTTTTCAGAATCTCAACAAAAAGCAGCGTCAGTCGCTTCGCAAAATGGTCATCGACATGGTGAGTGGACCATTAAGATCGTAGACGTGCAGTATAGCTCCACTCAGCTTAGGCCTTCTTTTTCCCCAGTGACTTCTGTTTGGTTTAATGTGTTTAATGTTGTTCTTGCAGGTGCTCGCCACAGATATGTCCAAACACATGAACCTGTTAGCAGACCTGAAGACCATGGTGGAGACTAAGAAAGTCACCAGCCTGGGAGTCCTGCTTTTAGACAACTATTCAGATCGCATACAGGTGAGAACTCTTTTTATACAAAGATAGAATCAATCTAATCTATATATTTGACATGTGACAACACCTGTTTAATTTGCCACTGCAGGTTCTTCAGAACATGGTACACTGTGCAGACCTGAGTAACCCGACCAAACCTCTCGAGCTGTACCGCCAGTGGACAGACCGCATCATGGTGGAGTTCTTCACACAGGGAGACAGAGAGAGAGAGAAAGGCATGGAGATCAGCCCCATGTGCGACAAGCACAATGCTTCAGTAGAAAAGAACCAGGTGGGGAATAACCCAAACCGCGAGCTTAGCCTCAAAATCAAATTCATGTATTTTTCCTCTTGGTGCTGTTCGTCAGCCTAGATTTAGATTGTTCTGTTGTGAGGGGGTTTTGGAGATCCCTTCTCTTTTATATAATGGAACTAAAAAGGCACTGAAGTGGTCCTCAAAATACATTTTATGATGAACCTGATGGTTAATGATAGGGAGACAGCCTGTAAAAATTAGCCGTATCTAGCTTCATGCTTCCTGTGGTTGATGGATGTAGACGTCAGGAAGAAAACTAGTTCGGATACAAAACCGCTCACGGAAAGATGGAGTTCTTTGATTAAGTCAAAGCATTACTGCTGAGTTTGTTATTCGCAGTCTTAAACATTGCTTTCTCTTTCAGGTGGGTTTCATCGACTACATCGTTCATCCTCTGTGGGAAACATGGGCCGACCTGGTGCACCCTGATGCGCAGGACATCCTGGACACGCTGGAGGATAACAGAGAGTGGTATCAAAGCATGATCCCCCACAGCCCATCACCTCACCCAGAGGGCCAGGAGGAGGAGGAGGAGGAGGAGGAAGATGCCTTTGCAGGGGAAGCTTCGGCACACGGTCGGGGTAGCGGGTCTGCTTCTGCTGACAAGTTTCAGTTTAAGCTGACCTTAGAAGAAGAGGGGGAGTCTGACACAGAGAGTCCACCTGAGGAAGAGGAGGGCCACAGCAGCAGCAGGAGGCATGAAATCTACAGATCCGATTCGGCCTCTCCTGCATCTCGAAGGCTTCCCAAAATGCTTACAAGTGACTCGGGCAGGACGTTTTCTTTAGACTCGGAGAAAGATATGGCAGAAGAAAGAGAAACAGATGAAGGCGTCTCTGGGGTTCCACGCTTTCGAATTGGCACATAGCACCAGTCAATAGTTTCGACTCTTTCGACTTTCTTTCGTTTAATTATTCTTGATTTCAGTGCCTCGCCCTCTGTCACACCCCACCTTCCACTTCGAGCAAACGCCACCACCTCTGTTTTTCTGCAGATGGGGTTTAAGAGCTGGACTCAAGGTGGGGAGTACGGGAGTGCGGGAGGCTGTGGGGGAGGACTGAGAAAGTCTGCAGTTTCACACAGCAGTCACTTGCACTGGAGAGAGACAGATAGGCCCAGTCGCTGTTCCAGTAAGGACAGGAAATCTGTGTCTCTCACTCAGACAAATTGTGGCTGAAGTTCCACAGAGACGATAAGAAGTTAGAAAAATACACGCTTTTCTACCAGCTAGCCTAAAGTCCGCTACGACTAAAGACAGACGTGTCTTCCTCTAATGGAATATTTTTTTGTGTGAAAGAAGCGAGGAAGTGATGAATGACTGCGAAAACACTTAGAAGTCTTTTAAGACTTCTTGCCAAACTTGCAAATGCTGGTTTGCCTGCCTTTTGGGG